TTCACATGCATATGAGGCAATTGAAAACACTATGGCCAGGGTCAGGCACATCTTAGTCTTCAAGGTGACATCTTTGCTTTTCAACACTTTAAAGAGTTTTTTTTTTTTTTTTTAGCAGATTTGCCCAATGCAATGCATCTTTTGATTTCTTGACTGCTGCTTCCATGAGTGTTGAAGTAAAGTGAAATCCTTGACAACTTCAATCTTTTCTCCATTCATCATGATGTTGCTTATTGGTCCAGATGTGAGGATTTTTGTTTTCTTTATGTTGAGATATAATCCACACTGAAGGCTGTGGTCTTCGATTTTCGTCAGTAAGTGCTTCAAGTCTCTACACTTTCACCAAGCAAGGTTGTGTCATCCGCATAACGTAGTTTGTTAATGAGTCTTCCTCCAATCCTGATGCCCAGTTCTTCTTCATATGGTCCAGCTTCTCATATTATTTGCTCAGTACAGATTGAATAAATATGGTGAAAGGATACAACCATGATGCACACCTTTCCTGATTTTAAACCATGCAGTATCCCCTTGTTCTGTTCGAACAACTGCCTCTTGGTCTATGTACAGGCTCCGCATAAGCACAATTAACTGTTCTGGAATTCCCATTCTTCACAAGGTTATCCATAGTTTGTTATGATCCATACAGTCTAATGCCTTTGCATAGTCAATAAAACACAAGTAAACATCTTTCTGGTATTCTCTGCTTTCAGCCAAGATCCATGTGACATCAACAATGATATCCCTTGTTCTACATCCTCTTCTGAATCTGGCTTGAATTTCTGGCAGTTCCCTGTTGATGTACTGCTGCAGCTGTTTTTGAGTGATCTTCAGGAAAATTTTACTTGAGTGTGATATTAATGATATTGTTCAATAATTTCCACATTCTGTTGGATCACATTTCTTTGTGATGGGCACAAATACGGTTCTCTTCCAGTTGGTTGACCAGGTAGCTGTCTACCAAATTTCTCGGCATAGACAAGTGAGCACTTCTAGCATTGCATCTGTTTGTTGAAACATCTCAATTGGTATTTCAATTCCTGGTGCCTTGTTTTTCGCCAGTGCCTTCAGTGAAGCTTGGACTTCTTCCTTCAGTACCATTGGTGCTTGATCATATGCTACCTTCTGAAATGACCGAACATCGACCAATTCTTTTTGATACAGTGACTCTGTGTATTACTTCCATCTTCTTTTGATGCTTCCTGTGTTGTTCTGTATTTTGCCCACAGAAGCCTTCACTATTTCAACTCGAGGATTAAATTTTTCTTCAGTTCTTTTAGCTTAAGAAATGCTGAGTGTGTTCTTCCTTTTTGGTTTTCTAACTCCAGGTATTTGTACATTTCATTATAGTACTTTACTTTGTCTCTCGAATGGCTCTTTGAAATCTTTTGTTCAGCTATTGTACTTCATCATTTCTTCCATTCACTTTAGCTACTCAACGTTCAAGAGCAAGTTTCAGAGTCTTTTCTAACATCCATTTTAGTCTTTTCTTTCTTCCCTCTCTTTTTAATGACCTCTTGCTTTCTTCATGTATGATGTCCTTGATGTCATTGTACAACTCATTTGGTCTTTGGTCATTAGTATTCAATGTGTCAAATCTATTCTTGAGATGGTCTGTAAATTCTGGTGGGATATACTCAAGGTCTTATTTTGGCTCTTGGGGACTTGTTTTAATTTTCTTCAGCTTCTACTCCTCTGTCAGTTTGTCTTACTGTGGGGGCTTGCGTGCTGCTGTGATGGTGAAGCTATGCCACCAGTATTCAAATACTAGCAGGGTCACCCACAGTGGACAGGTTTCAGCTCAGCTTCCATACTAAGACAGACTAGGAAGAAGGAAGTGGCAATCTCCTTCTGAAAAGAATTGGCTAGTGAAAATCTTATGAATAGCAACAGAAAATTTTATGAGATAGTGCCAGAAGATGAGCCCCTCAGGTTGGAAAGTACTCAAAATATGACTGGGGAAGAGTTGCCTCCTCAAAGTCGAATTGACCTTAATGAGGTGGATGGAGTCAACCTTTTAGGACTTTCATTTGCTGATGTGGCACGACTCAAAATGAGAAGAAACAGCTGCAAACATCCACTAATAATCAGACCATGGAATGCACAAAGTCTGAATCAAGGAAAAATGGAAGTTGTCAAAAATGAAACGGAATGCATAAACATCAATATCCGAGGCATTAGTGAGCTGAAATGGACTGGTATCGGCCATTTTCAATCAGACAATGATATAGTCTATTATGCTGGGAGTGACAGAAGAGGAATGGCATCTCATTCATTGTTAAAAAGAACATTTTAAGATCTATCCTTGATATATTTTTTTCTATCCTTTGAGTTTTAGTTTGTTTGTGTCTTTAAGTCTAAGGTGTGTCTCCTGTAGGCAGCATATACGGATTGGGTTTTTTAATCCATTCTGCAACTCACTGTCTCTTTATTGGTGCATTTAGTCCATTTACATTCAGCATAATTATTGATAGGTATGAGTTTAGTGCTCTCATTTTGATGTCTCTTTGTGTGTGTTGTTGACAGTTTCTTTGTTCCACTTAATTTTCTGTGCTGAGTCATTTTTCTATATATATATATTTTCATCTTTTTCATTGTTGTTGATTTTATATTTGCTGAGTCTTTATGTTTTTCTTGTTTTTTATTTTCATGTGTAGGATTGTTAGTTTCCTTTGTGGTTACCTTAATATTTGCCCCTATTTTTCTAAGTTTAAACCAGTCTTTTATTTCTTTATATTGCCTTGACTTCCTCTCCATATGAAAAATCTATACCCACATTTTTTAGTCCCTCTTTTTTGTTTTAATGCTGTCATCTTTCACATATTGACAGCTCTGTTTCCCTATTTTGAGTATTTTAGCTTTGATTAATTTTTGTGACTTCCCTATCTGGGTTGATATCTGGTTGCTCTGTCCTGTGTTCTAGTCTTAGGTTGTTATCTGATATTATTGATTTTCCAACCAGAGGACTCCCTTTAGTGTTTCTTGTAATTTTGGTTTGGTGTTTGCAAATTCCCTAAACTTCGATTTATCTGGAAATGCCCTGATTTCGCCATCATATTTGAGAGACAGTTTTGCTGGATACATAATTCTTGGCAGGCTGTTTTTTTCCTTCAAGGCTTTATATATGTCATCTCACTGCCTTCTTGCCTGCATGGTTTCTGCTGAGTAGTCTGAGCTTATTCTTATTGACTCTCCTTTGTAGATGACTTTTTGTTTATCCCTAGCTGCTCTTAAAATTCTCTCTTTATCTTTGGTTTTGGCAAGTTTGATTATAATATGTCTTGGTGACTTTCTTTTGGGATCTACTTTATGTGGGGTTCAATGAGTATCTTGGATAGATATCTTCTCATCTATCATGATATCAGGGAAGTTTTCTGCCAACAAATCTTCAACAATTTTCTCTGTATTTTCTGTTATCCTCCCCCATTCTGGTACTCCAGTCACTCATAGGTTATTCCTCTTGATAGAATCCCACATAATTCTTAGGGTTTCTTCATTTTTTTAAAAATCCTTTTATCTGATTTTTCCTCAAATAAGTTGGTGTCAATTGCTTTATCTTCAATCTCACTAATTCTGATTTCCATTGCCTCAGTTCTGCTCCTATGACTTTCTTGGAGAATATTTCTTTTTCATGTATCCTGGTTCTCAGGTTTGTTCCAGATGTTGAAGTTACCAGGTAAATACTTTTATAATTAGGGTAACAGAACTTATTCAATGACATAATGAATCAGTTTTCATTTTTCTGTGCTGCAGACATTATATACATTTGACAATTACTAACTGGGGGTTCATAGCCATTCATAGGAAAATGTATTTCCAGCAAAAAGCTCTCCCCCGAAAATAAATGGAAGTGTATTTCCCACGTGTCAAGTCAGTAGGCAGAATTTCCAAAAGAGGCATTTCACTGCTCCCCTCCTTCTTAAAAAAATGTAAGAAATTCAGGTTATCTCAGAACATCCTATCTTCAGCAGGTAATCGAGAGTTGCATGTCTCCTATACAGAAAGATTCATGGAAAAAATTTCAAGACAGCATTGTAGTTGTTGTTAGCTGCTGTTGCGCCAGTCCCCAACTCATGGTTACCTCATACACAATGGGATGGGATGGTTGTAATCCACAGGATTTTCACTGGTTGATTTTTCTGAAGGGGATTGCCAGGCCTTTCTTCTTAATCTGTTTTAGTCTGGAAACTCTGCTGAAACCTGTTCAGCATCATAGAAACACTCAAGCCTCTACAGACAGATGGGTAGTGGCTGTGCTGAGGTGCACTTGCTAGGAATCAAATCTGGATGTCCTACATGGAAGGCGAGGATTCTGCCACTGAACCACCACTGCCCCTAAGGCAGCAGCATCATAGTTGTGGTCGTGTGCCATCTCATTAGAGCCATTGACCAACAACTGAGGGAAATTTCTGGTGTCACATATTCTAGGGAAATGGTTGTCTATACAAATTTCATGCTCTGTCCCACTAAATGGAATATACCAGAGCTAGTAATAGAAAACGTGATTAGTGCTCAAGAAGCAATTTGTAGTAATGGTTAATGAGCTATAGAATAATGAACTCGAGGGTGAGTTTAAATTTTGGTCCTCTTAATTATTAGCATCTAACTTGAGGGAAGCTCTTTACTGCCTCAGTTTCCTCATCTATAAAGCAGGGTTTATAATAACATATGTTGTTGTGAGGATTAAATGAGTTAGAATAGTTACTGTAGTTTGAATGGTACCTGGAATATAATAAAAAATTGACAACAATTTAATATGGTTATTTGCTAACTATTTCAATAGCTACAAAAGAAATATCAAGGATGCCAAGGAAATGCTTAATTCAATTTTTCCACAAATATTTGTTACATGACTGCTCTGTGTCATACAGTCTGCTAATGAAGGTTAATTACCTAAGAAAATTATAGAACCATGCTTGAGAAATGAGGCAGAAACTGTTGAAGTGGCAAATACCTGGTCCATTCAGAACAGATCTGATTTTATTTTTGTTTTCACCTTTCAGGGGGAAAATTATGTAATGAACAACTTTACATTAAGAGAGGTTCCATATACTTCGTCTCACCGGGGGACCCATTTAAACTGGAGTGCCCTGTGACATACTGTGCTAATCGACCTAATGTGACCTGGTGCAAGTTCAAAGGAACACACTGTTCACCTCTTCAGGATGAACGTCAGGAACGCACAAGTTGGGAAGAAGGGAAGAATATTTCAACTTTTATTCTCTATTTTGAACATGTGCTTGCTAGTGACAATGGGTCATACCGATGTATAGCTGATATTTTATCTGGAGTTGTTACAAGCCACTCAGTAACCATTTATGTGACAGGTGAGTTCTAGACATTGAGACCATCTAATGCCTTTCTCACCATTTCAAGGAAAAGGAGGACCCATATTCTTATGTTACTAGGTTAGACACTGAACTTATGTAAAGTATCAGAAGGTTACCATGTCCCACAGATTGTGGTGGACATGTATATGTGTATAAATCATATATAAAAGGTATTGCCCTTGTCTTTAAGGACTATTCAAATGTATGTCAATGAAATATGGGAATAGTTACAAGGTGTGTACCAATAGAAGTCAGCTCAATTACTTGTCCTTGGGTTAATTTCTTTTATTTTTCATTTCTTACTTTTGTTGATTATAATTCTTTGAAGTTGCATGTGTGGTGCTCAGATAATTACACACTTGTTGATAGTTCAGTTTGCATAGAGGGCAAAGGGCACACAAATAACCTGACTCCCTAATGAATTTTAAAAATAGCTTCAGCTGCCCCCTCAATCCCTCTTCAGAGGTCTTCCATAGGCTCAAGCAGCAAAGCAAGGTTAAGCTGGGCAAAACCAAGATGAAAAAAATACAGAGAAACAATAAAGAGAGTGGAAGAGGAGAAAGTAAAAACATATATAGTTTATGAAAATCCTACAGCTAACATCATATTCAATGGTCAAAGACTGAAAGGTTACACCCTAAGATCAGGAACACGACAAGGATGCCTATTTTCACCACTTCCATTCAACATTGTGTTCTAGCCAGAGCAATTAGGCAAGAAAAAGAACTAAAAGACATCTAAATTGGACAGGAAGAAGTAAAACAATTTTTATTTGCAGATGACATGGCTTTATCTATAGAAAATCCTTAAAAAAATCTACAAAAAACAAATTCTACAATAAACAAATTCAACAAATTTTCAGGATACAAGATCAACACACAAAAATCACTGGTATTACTATACACTAACAATGAACAATCCAAAGAAGAAATTATGAAAACAATTCAATTTACAATAAAATTAAAGAGACTAAAATACTTAGAAATAAATTTAACCAAGGAGGTGCAAGACTTGTACACTGAAAACTACAAAACATTGCTGAGAGAAATTCAAGAATGTCTAAATAAATAGAAAGTCATCCCGTGTTCATGGATCGGAAGACTTAATTTGTTAAGATGGCAGTCTTCCCCAAAGTGATCTATACATTCAATGCAATCTCTATCAAAATCTCCATGGCCTGTTTTAAAGAAATGGAAAAGCTAATCCTAAAATTCATGTGGAAGTGCAAGTGACTCCAAATAGCCAAAACAATCTTGAAAAATAAGAACAAAGTTGGAAGACTCACATTTCCTGATTTCAAAACTTACTACAAAACTATAGTAATCGAGACTGTGTGGTTCTGGCGTGAGGACAGACATATAGATTAATAGAATAAAATAGATAGTTCAGAAATAAGCCTAACTGAATTTTGACAAGGGTGCCATACGGTTTAATGGCGAAAGAATATTCACTTCAACAAATGGTCCTGGGACAACTGGATATATATTTAACAATAACAACAACACACACACACACACATTTGTTGTTGTTAAACACCATTGATTCAGTTCTGACTCATAACAACCCTATGTACAACAGAATGAAACACTGCAAGACCAATGACTTCATTGCAAATACCTTTTTTCAACAACATAACCAGGGTCTATACAAGTGGACCTCGCCAGATGGAATACACAGGGATCAAATTGACTACATCTGTGGAAAGACACAATGGAAAAGCTCGATATCATCAGTCGGAACAAGGCCAGAGGCTGACTGTGGAACAAACCATCAATTGCTCATATGCAAGTTCAAACTGAAGGTGAAGAAAATGAGAACAAGTCCAGGAGAGCCAAAGTACGACCTTGAGTATATTCCACCTGAATTTAGAGACCATCTCGAGAATACATTTGGCACATTGAACACTAATGACTGCAGACCAGATGAGTTGTGGAATGACATCAAGGACATCATACATGAAGAAAGCAAGAGGCTTTAAAAAGACAGGAAAGAAAGAAAAGACCAAAATGGACGTCAGAAGAGACTCTGAAACTTGCTCTTGAACATCAAGTAGCTAAAGCAAATGCAAGAAATGATGAAGTAAAAGATCTGAACAGAAAATTTCAAACAGTATCTCGAGAAGATAAAGTATTATAATGACATGTGCAAAGACCTGGAGATAGAAAACCAAAAGGGAAGAACATATTCAGCATTTCTCAAACTGAAAGAACTGAAGAAAAAATTCAAGCCTCGAGTTGCAATACTGAAGGATTCTACGAGGAAAATATTAAAAGACACAGGAAGCATCAAAAGAAGATGGAAGGAATACACAGAGTCACTACACCAAACAGAACTGGTCGACGTTCAACCATTTCAGGAAGTAGCATATTCAGGAAATGATGGTAATGAAAGAAGAGGTCCAAGCTGCACTGAAGGCATTGTTGAAAAAGAAGGCTCCAGGAATTGATGGAATACTAACTGAGATGTTTCAACAAATGGACGCAAGCTGGAAGTGCTCACTGTCTATGCTAAGAAATTTGGAAGACAGCTACCTGGCCAACTGATTGGAAAAGATTCATATTTATTCCCATTCCAAAGAAGGGCAATCCAACCAAATTGAGAAATTATCGAACAATATCATTAATATCACATGCAAGTAAAATTTTGCTGAAGATCATTCAAAAGTGGCTGCAGCAGTACATCGACAGGGAACTGCCAGAAATTCAAGTGGGATTCAGAAGAGGACACAGAATGAGCAATATCATTGCTGATATCAGTTGAATCCTAGCTGAAAGCAGAGAATACCACAAAGATGTTAATCTGTGTTTTATTGACTATGCAAAGGCATTCAACTCTGTGGGTCATAACAAAGTATGGACAACACTGCAAAGAATGGGAATTCCAGAACACTTTATTGTGCTCATGAGGAACCTGTACATAGATCAAGAGGCAGTCATTCAAATAGAACAAAGGGAAACTGCATGGTTGAAAATCAGGAAAGTTGTGAGTCAGGGTTGCATCCTTTCAGCATAGTTATTCAATCTGTATGCTGAGCAAATAATTCGAGAAGCTGGACTATATGAAGAAGAACAGGGCATTAGGATTGGAGGAAGACTCATTAACAACTTGCATTATACAGATGACACAGCCTTGCTTGCTGAAAGTGAAGAGGATTTGAAGTACTTCCTGATGAAGATCAAAGACCACAGCCTTCAGTATGGATTACACCTCAACCTAAAGAAAACAAAAATCCTTACAAATGGACCAATAAACAACCTCATGATAAATGGAGAAAAGGTTGAAGTTGTCAAGGATTTCATTTTACTTGGATCCACAATCAACACCCATGGAAGCAGCAGTCAGGATATCAAATGACATATTGCATTGGGCAAATCTTCTGCAAAAGACCTATTTAAAGTGTTAAGAAGCAAAGATATTACCTTGAAGACTATGGTGCACCTGATCCAAGCCATGGTGTTTCAATCACCCATATGCATGAGAAATCTGGACAATGAATAAGGAGAACTGAAGAAAAATTGATGCCTTTGAATTATGGTGTTGGCAAAGAATATTGAACATGCCAAAAGAATGAACAAATCTGTCTTGGAAGAAATACAGCCAGAATGCTCCTTAGAAGCAAAGATGGTGCGACTACGTCTCACATACTTCGGACTTGTTATCAAGAGGGATCAGTCTCTGGAGAATGACACCATGCTTCGTAAAATAGAGGATCAGTGAAAAAGAGGAAGACCCTCAATGAGATGGATTGACACAGTGGCTGCAACAATGGGTTCAAGCATAACAAAGATTGTAAGGATAGTGCAGGACCGGTCAGTGTTTCGTTCCCTTGTGCACAGGGTTGCTATGAGTCGGTACGGACTCGATGGCACCTAACAACAACAACATACATATAATGTATATACATATGTATACATAAATATGTATATGTATAGGAGCCCAGGTGGCACAGTGGTTAAGAGCTCGATTGCTAATCAAAGGGCTGGCAGTTCTAATCCACCAGCCACTCCTTGAAAACTGTATGGGACAGTTCTACTCTGTCCTATAGGGTTGCTATGAGTTGGAATTGAATTGATGGCAACGGGCTTGAGGTTTTTTTTTTTTTTGTTGTTGTTGTTGTTATACTGCAAAATATACATATACATATGTAATATACATGTGGAAAAAATAAGTCAAAATTGATCAAAGATCTAAATGTAAGAGCTAAAACTATAAAACTCTTGGAAGAATATGCAAGGGCAAATCTTCCTGACTTTGGATTTGGCAATAGTTTCTTAGACATGACATGAAAAGCACAGCAACAGAAGAAAAATTAGATAAACTGACTTCATCAAAATGAAAAAACTTTTTGCATCAAAAGATATTATCAAGACAGTAAAAAGACAATCCATAGAATGGGAGAAAATATTTGCAAATCATTTATCTGATAAGGGTCTAGTATCCAGAATATGTAAAGAACTCTTACAAGTCAATAACAGACTAACAATCCACTTAAAAAATAGGTGAAGGACTTGAATAGATAATTCTCCAAAGAAGATATACAAATGGCTAACAAGTACATGAAAAGATTCTCAGCATTATTAGTCATTAGGGAAATTCAAATCAAAGTCACAATGAGATACCACTTCACATTTACTAAAAAACCACTGCTGTTGAGGCGATTCCAACTTATAGGGACCCTATAGGACAGAGTAGAACAGCCTACATAGGGTTTCCAAGTCTGTACATCTTTTGGGAAGTAGACCGCCATATCTTTCTCCTGCGGAGCAGCTGGTGCATTTGAACTGCCGACCTCTCGGTTAGCAGCCAAGAGCTTAACCACTGCACCACCAGGGCTCCTTTCACATCTACTAGGATGCCTATTATCAGGAAAATGAGAAATAACAAGTGTTGGCAAGGGTGTGGAGAAATTGGAACGCTTGTGAATTGTTAGTGAGAGTGTAAAATGCAACAACTGCTATGGAAAATGGTTTGGAGTTTCCTCAAATGTTAAACATAGAATTACCATATGACCCAGCAATTCCACTCCTTGGTATATACCCAAAAGAATTGAAAACACATGTTCAAACACAACGTGCACACCAATGTTCATAGCAGTGTTAGTCACAATAGCCAAAGGTGCAAATAACCCAAATATTTGTCAATATTGTCTATATTGAGGATGTACAGAATGAATACTGTCTTAGGCTGGGTTCTCTAGAGCAGCAAAACCAGTAAAGCATATAAATATATATATAGAGAGAGATTTATATCAAGGAAACAACTCATGCAATTGTAGAGTCTGGAACGTCCCAAATCCATGGATCTGGATAGGGCTTCTCTTGATTCATGTAGCTGCAGGGGCTGGTGAAGCCAAGATCAGTAGGTCAGAGAGCAGGACTCTTGCTCACAGGCTGTGAAGATCAATGAATCCCAAGATCTACCAGCAAAACCACAAGGCTTCTCCTGATTCATGTAGCTGCAGGGGCTGGCGAACCCAAGATTGGCAGGTAAGCTGCTAGCTCAAGTCCCAAGAATGGGAGGTCAGATGAACAAAAGGCAGCTGCAGGATCCAGAACAAGCCAAAAACCTTGGCAAGGCAAGCAGGAAGGAAGCAGAAGGCGGAGGATGAAAAGATGAAGGCTGAGGGGGCAGTGAGCCACCACAGGCCCCTGCCTCCACTGGTACCACTCAGCACATTCCATCAAGGGGGTGATCACACATCAGATTTCAACAGGGAAGTGATCACAACATTATACAACTGCCAAAACACTGAGAATCATGACCCAGCCAAGTTGACACATAATCTTAACCATCACAAATACCTTCTGGAGAGAATCACATTATTAATTCACATGTTTGAGAGAAAATATTGAAAATTTGAAGTACATTTTTTTAAACTGGCAAAATAAATTATAATAGTAAGCAAAACTTGAAGAACATTGCTTCCAGGATAAAATGATTAAGTGCTATAGAATAGTTTATATAATATGTTATTGTTGTTAGGTGTCATCCAGTTGGCTCCAATTCATAGCGACTGCAAGTACAATACAGCGAAACACTGCTTGATCCTGTGCCATCTTCACAATCGTTGTTATGCTTGAGCCCATGGTTGCAGCCACTGTGTCAGTCCATCTTTGAGGGTCTTTCTCTTTTTCGCTGACCCTCTAATTTGCCAAACATGATGTCCTTCTTCGGGATTGGTCCCTCCTGTCCAAAGTATGTGAGACGAACTCTTGCCATCCTAGCTTCCAAGGAACGTTCCAGCTGTACTTCTTCCAAGACAGATTGGTTCGTTCTTCTGGCAGTCCATGGTATATTCAATATTCTTCATCAACAACATGATTCAAATTCATCCATTCTCCTTCGGTCTTCCTTATTCATTGTCCAGCATTCACATGCATATGAGGTGATTGGAAATTCCATGGCTTGGGTCGGGCACACCTTAGTCCTGAAAGTGACATCTTTGCTTTTCAACACTTTAAAGAGGTCTTTTGCAGCAGACTTGCCCAACACAGTATGTCATTTGATTTCTTAACAGGTGCTTCCATGGGCATTGATTGTGGATTCAAGTAAAATGAAGTCCTTGACAACTTCAATATTTTCTCCATTCATCATGATGTTGTTTATTGGTCCAGGTGTGAGGATTTTTGTTTTATGTTGAGGTGTAATCCATACTTAGTCCATGGTCTGGAAGCTCAACTGAAACTTGTACACCAAGGGTGACCTAGCTGGTATTTGAAATAACAGTGGCAAAACTTCCAGTATCACAGCAACATGCAAGCCACCACAGTACAACAAAATGACAAACACGTAGTGGTTATATAATACATCTGTTTATTAACATAATATATAACAAAAGTAAATTTAGCTATATTGAGTGCACCTTGCTTGGAAGAGAAGTCTTCTTGTATAAATTTGCATTGTGTTTGTGTGTGCTAAAGTAAGAAATTTTCATTTAAGTTTAGCCTTGCTTCGTGGAAAACGATCTACTTCTGTACAACAAGGAGGAATTTAGCTGGGGTCAGAAGCAAGCTAATACTTCCTTGTGACACAAAAGTCTCCCAAGAGCATTACAGTTTCTCCTCTATCCCATATTTGGATCATCCCATGGCTGTTGCACATGGATGTAGAGTCTGAAAAGTGCACTATGGACCAAGTGAAGGCTGAAATTAGGATCAACAATCTGTCTACCCTGGGGGAGTGGGGGCTAACTTCAGGGGGAGGGAGGCAGCATGTCCTTTTTCAAAGCCTGTGTCCTGAGGAGATGTGCTTATTACTGTCGGACTAGAACAGAATGTAAAGGATGAAATGATGAGACAGAAAGTCTAAGGGCTGAGTAAGAGACATATTATTAACGGCCTTGTAAATCTCTTTGATGTGTTCTATTCTCCTTGTTTCCTACTCTCCTACCTTTCTTATCACTCCCTTTCTTATCATTTTGTTAATTAATGCCCTTGACCCCCATTGGGAACTCCCCAGGACTTTGCCTTTGTCCTTCTACTATTGTCTGTCAGCACTCTTCTACTCTGATTTATTCCCTCCTACAGCTTCCATGTACACCTCAGACCTTCATTACCTGCCATCTAAACAATTTCAAGTAATTGTCTGGCTGGACTCATTTTCTTTAGTGTTTCCCCATTTTAGTTCATTTCAGCCAAAATCTTCCTAATACTCTTGTTTCATAATGCCACTCTTCTGTTGAGTCCCCTCCAGAGCATTCACAACACTCATATTCGGCTCATGCTTTTTAACCAGCATCCTCGCCTTCCACAGTCTGTCTCAATCTACCTCCCTGGATTGTTTCTGGAATCCATACAGAACTTCTCAACCCTAGCCTAACAGCCGTGTTTGCTGTTGGCATGTCTTCATCATGACCCTTTCCACACTACTCTCACACTTGTAGGGCACACATTCATCTGTCTCCACCTATCAACGTTCTACCTCTCCTTCTAAGGGTAGCTCATTTCCCAAGTTCTCAATGAAACCATCCACGATCACCTTAGGGGATTTCTCTTTATCAATTTTTATGACGTTTAAGGTCTATGCCTCTTATTTATCACACACTTCCTTGTACCGTAGTAATGTGTGGAAATGTCTTTTGTCCAATAAAGAATTATAATGTCTTAGGAGACAGAAATTGCATCATATTTCTGTGGGTCATCTCTGTTTCCTTTATAAGAGTTAGGGGTTGACTTGAAACTGGGTTGTGGGTTGTGAAATAGTGAAAATAGAGATACCAGGGAAAGGGTGGAAGTAAAATTCCTTTTCCTTCTGTACCCAGGAGTGCTCAGTAAAATTAGTATAAGGTAAGGAGAGAAATATAGTCAGGACTTATGTTCTAGGACCATGCTTTAATAAATACATTTTGGAGGTATAATGAAAAAATATTTTATATTCTTCCCTGAAATATCTTTCTTAAGGAATGTTGGGAATTTTCTTTATTTTGTATCTGATTCTCCTTTGCTTTTTATGGTTAAATCAAAATTTGGTTTTTGTAAGAGCAGGTTTGTGATAGAGTAGGAGCTTAGAAACTCTTGGGAAAGCAAAATTCTCTCAAAATGAAGAAAAATGCTTTCCAGAGAAAGTCAAAGTCCCAAGAGAGAAGGTGACAGAGCTAGGGAACAGTCTCTGGAACAGGCTTTGGCCTTCGACTCTGTCCTCTTCAACCAGCCCTCGGTTACTCCCTGCTTAGGGACTACATAAAGCTGGGTAGTCCTTATCTGTGCAGGAAGGTGGGGGCTGGGAGAATGGGCAGGAAGAGACAGGCATAATCTTTATTTCAGAATGAGGGCCCAGCATGTCACCATGCCTTCCACAAAAGCTCACTCAGAGCACCTGCTCAATGTGTGTCTTGTTATTTCAGGTGCCAGAAGGCATAACACAGGCTGTATTGTGTCACAATACATAAATGAGTGGGGAGGAGAGATCAAAGCAGACAGATGAAGGTTATGTTGTTTCTACACAGTTTTTCTATGAGTATAGAAATGAACCCAGAGATTTACTTTGTGCCCTTGATCTCAAAGCAATGATCCACAAATTATGCAAACTGTCTTCGGACTGAAATATTGAATTATATGTTAGTGTGCAAACACAAGTCCTGTCAGAGACGAGCTCTGACATGAACATGCCTGAGTGTGCACCCTTATTGTTTTCACAGCCAGTTTCAATTCTTATCTTGTTTTTCTATTTCAGCACAGACTCAAAATAATTCAGAACATCTTCTAATAAGTAAGTATCAAATTAGTCATATACAATTAAGGACATTAGATTGTTTGGTGGTTGGAGAACTCACAATAAAAGTTGGATCTTAATCAAGTAGATTTGTTTTGTATTAGGTTATCTGTGTTGGGAACCTTAGTCCCTATTCCTATCCATGCCCCTCCCCCAGACAGCTGGGCCTGCCACTCTTGGCAATGACCTGGCTGCCCAACCAACCTTAGCAGCAGCTGGAGCAGGGACAGCACAGCCTTTACTTTCGCTCTGAATTACCAAACCACTTTACGTCCAGTTCCATTTGCCACTGACTACGTAAAACCAAGCGTCTAGGGAAGCAAACCATACATATAATAGAGTATCTTAGTCCAGTACTTTTCATACTGTGTAACAGCAACCCATAATAAAAAAAAATGCATCTTATATCCTAACCCATAATACAAACACCCCGTACATGAGTAACTGAAACAAAAGTTTCCCAAAGCCATGTCTACCCCAAGCCAGGGTTTCTCATCCTCGACGCTGTAGACATTTTAAGCATTTAACTATATAAGGAGAGGGGGGAGCTGCCTTTTGCAGTGTAGGCTGTTTAGCATCATCCCTGGCCTCTACTCACTAGATGCTAGCCCCTCAACCTTGTGACAACCAAAACAGTCTCCACACATTGCCAAATGTCCCTTCTGAGGCAAAATCACCCCAGCTGAGAATCATTGCTCTAGTGAGTGTAATACATTCTGATGTTTTTTATTCTGCTCTGCTTCATTTTTTAAAATATGCTGTTTGTGACCTACTAAATTATTTTCATGACCTCCTAGTAAGTTGAACCGAGCGTGGACAAACAAGGCCTTAACGCGCACTAACACTGATTAACAGTAATAAGCGCCAGCTGTACGCCCATGCAACCAAAGAGTTATGAGACAAGGAAAGATTGTTGTGTTGAACGAACTTGAATTTAGTATCAGAAAGATGTGGGCTTGAGTCCCAACTGCCACTTTGTAGATATCCGAGCTTGGGCCTGTCTTGGAACGATAAAATACATCGAAAGTCATGGGACTGAATACAAATTATGGCTCCCTACTTTTCTTAGGTCGTAAATATGAGAGTTAAGTAAGATAATGTAAATGAAAGGGCTTGGTGAGGTGCTTTCTGAAAGCTGTTACGGATCTCTACAGAGGATTAACCCTAGCCTAAAGAAGGACTTTTGCATAAAATAAATTATAATTTAGGGCTGCATATGTAAAGCAAGAGGTGGGTAAGGGCACTGAGGTCGGGGATTCTCAGGAAGGGCTTCCTGGAGGTAGGGGATGGAGGCATCTGCCTGTAACCTCCTTCATTCAAGTTCTGACAACACAGAAAATCAGTTGCTCTCAAGTGGGTTTCAACTCTGCTGACCCCAAGTTTTGCAGAATAGAACTGCACTCCATAGGGTTTTCAAGGCTATGATCTTTTGAAGTAGATCACCAGGTCTTTCTTCCGAGGTGCTTCTGAGTGTTTTGGAACCGCCAACCTTTGGGTTAGTAGTGGAGCAATTAACCATTTGTACCACTCAGGGACCCCATCAATGTAGAAGGTGTTGAAAATGCTAATACATCTCCGAGTTCCTAACTGTCTTTAGCATTGCCTAACATTTCAGATGCAACCAGTGCCACGGGACCTCCCTCCCAGAATGAAATGGTGGACAGAAAATGGCTCCTTTATGGTTTGCTTCCTTTGGGGGCATTGTCATCACTCCTCATTACCTGTTTCTGCCTGTTCTGCTGCCTAAGAAAGCGCCAAGGTGGGTTTCATTTTCCCTCTGCACCTACACTGGGGGTTCTCTTCCTGGAACTGGTAGATTTTTACTTGGTTTCTGCTGTTTTCTGTCATGATCTTCTGGGATACACCATGGACAATGATCTCCTGGGTGGCGTCTCATACACCAGAGAGCCAAATGGATTAATTCAAGCTCACTCAAGTCATGGAGCAGGCATGCTCACCATATCACAGTCCTCCAGTCAGGAATGTGGTAAGGAGGCACATTGCTGGGAATTTCTCCTTCAATTTGTGTGAATCTTAGGATCAGATCAGAAGAATCTCTTATAAACCTTAAGGAGGTCGAAAGGGAGGTTGAAATGATCTCTCAGATCAACGTGCCTTTGTGATTTGAGTAGTTTTGCCTCATCCTCTTTTTTCACTGCCACACCACAGCCTGCCAGTCATACACACTCTTGATGTCAGTTCCAACACTCTCCATGCTTGAACTGAACCCTAACTCAACAATAATGTATTTGAAAAATGCGTGTTTGGTTATGATGGGAGCGGTGTGACATTTTGAAAACAATACGTTCTGCTTATGTAAAACATCCTTCAACCTCACAATAACTTACACACAGTAAGACAGTGTGGCATGGAGAATTTTGATCTAGCCTGAGCCAGTTCAGTTCTCTCTTCCTTTTATCCTCTCTTCCATCTCCTCGTATCCCCTTTCCACAACACGGCCAGTGTAACTATGTTGTTGTTGCTGTTAGGTGCTGTCAAGTCAGTTCCCACTCATAGCAACCCTATGTACTACAGACGAAACACTGCCTAGTCCTGCACCATCCTCACAATCACTGTAATGCTTGAGCTCATTGTTGCAGCCACTGTGTTAATCCAGCTCACTGAGGGTCTTCCTCTTTTTTGATGACCCTCTACTTTACCAAGCATGATATCCTCCTCCAGGAACTGGTCTCTCTTGGTAACATATCCAAAGTATGTGAGATGAAGTCTCACCATCCTCACTTCTAAGGAACATTCTGGCTGTACTTCTTCCAAGACAGATTTGTTCGTTCTTCTGGCAGTCCATGAATTCAATGTTCTTCACCAACACCATAATTCAAATATATAAATTTTCTTCAGTCTTCCTTATTCATTGTCCTGCTTTTACATGCATATGAGGTGATTGGAAATATCATGGCTTGGGTCAGGCGCACTTTAGTCCTCAAAGTAACGTCTTTGCTTTTTAACACTTTGAAGAGGCTTAAAAAGCAGCAGATTTGCCCAATGTAATTTGTCGTTTGATTTCTTGACTGCTGCTTCTATGGGTGTTGATTGTGGATCCAAGTAAAATGAAATCCTTGACAACTTCAATCTTTTCTCTGTTTATCATGACGTTGCTTTTTGGTCCAGTTGTGAAGATTTTTGTTTTCTTTATGTTGAGGTGTAATCCATACTGAAGGCTGTAGTTTTTGGTGTTCATCATTAAATGCTTCAAGTCTTCTTCACTTTCAGCAAGCAAGGTTACGTCATCTGCATATCTCGGGTTGTTAATGAGTCTTCCTCCATTCCTGAACCTGTGTTCTTCTTCTTATAGTCCAGCTTCTCAGATTACTTGCCCAGCATACAGACTGAATAAGTATGGTGAAAGGATACAACCCTGACTCACACCTTTCCCGGTTTTAAACCACAAAGTATCCCTTTGTTCTGTTTGAATGACTGCCTTTTTGTCTATGTACAGGTTCTGCAGGAATACAATTAAGTGTTCTGGAATTCCTATTCTTCACAGTATTATCCATAATTTGTTATGATCCACACAGTCAAATCCTTTGCATACTCAATAAAACACAAGTAAACATCTTTCTGGTATTCTCTGCTTTCAGCCCAGATCCATCTGACATCAGCAATGATATCCCTCATTCTACATCCTCTTTTGAATCTGGCTTGAATTTCTAGCAATTATCTTTAGCAAAATTTGACTTAAGTGTGATATTAATGATATTGTTCGATAATTTCCGCATTCGGTTGGATCACCTTTCTTGGGAATAAGCATAAATATGGATCTCTTCCAGTCAGTCGGCCAGGTAGCTATCTTCCAAATTTCTTGATATAGACTAGTGAGCGCTTCCAGCCTTGCATATCCATTTGTTGAAACACCTCAATTGGTATTCTGTCAATTCCTTGAGCCTTGCTTTTCCCTGATGACTTCAGAGCAGCTTGGATCTCTTCCTTCAGTACCGTCGGTTCTTGGTCATATGCTACTTCCTGAAATGACTGAACGTTGACCAATTCTTTTTGGTATAGTGACTCTGTATATTCCTTCCATCTTCTTTTGATGCTTTCTGCATTGTTCAATATTTTGCCCATAGAATCCTTTAATATTGCAGTTGGAAGCTTGAATTTTTCCTTCAGTTCTATTAGCTTGAGAAATGCTAATTGTGTTCTTCTCTTTTGGTTTTCTAACTCTGGGTCTTTGCATACTTCATTATAATACTTTGTCTTCTCGAGCTGCCCTTTGAAATCTTCTGTTCAACTCTTTTACTTCATATTTTCTTCTGTTTGCCTTAGCTACTCTATGTTCAAGAGCAAGTTTCAGAATCTCTTCTGACATCCATTTTGGTCTTTTCTTTCTTCCCTGTCTTTTTAATGACCTTTTGCTTTCTTCATGTATGATGTCCTTGATGTCATCCATTAGTATGTCTGCCTGGGTAAAATTGCTTCTGGTGCTTTGGGTTGAGGACTTCTGGAGCCCAGAACCTTTTTCAAATGCTGAAGAATTTCTTTATAATCCCAACTCTGGATCTTAAACTCCAGGGCTTTTTCTGTGGTCCCTCTGTAGATTTCATGTTCTTTTTTTTTTTTTTTTAATCCTTTCCCATACAAAAATTTATACTTACATTGTTATGTGACTCTAATTGCTCTCCCCATACTGTGACAGCACACTCCTCCTTTTCACACCTGATTCCCCATGTCCACTCACCAGCTCCTAACCCTCTCTGCCTTCCTATCTCACCTCCGGACAGAAGCTGCCCATTTAGTCTCTTGTATCTACTTGAGCTAAGAGGCACACTCCTCATGAGTATCACTTTATATTCCACAGTCCGGTTCAATCCCTGTCTGAAGAGTTGGCGTCAGAAATTGTTTTAGTTCTGGGCTGATAGAGAATCCAGAGGCCATGCTTTCCAGGGTTCCTTCAGTTTCAGTCAGACCATTAAGTCTGGACTTCTTATTAGAGTTTGAGTTCTTCACCCCACCTTTCTCCTGCTCCATCAGGGACTCTCTGTTGTGTTCCCTGTCAGGGAGGTCGTTGGTGGTAGCCAGGCACCATCTAGTGCTTCTGGTCTCAGGCTGATAAAGTCTCTTGTTTATGTGACTCTTTCTGTCTCTTGGGCTACTACTTTCCTTGTGTCTTTGGTGTTCTTCATTCTCCTTTACTCCAGGTGGTTGGGACCAATTGATACATCTTAGATGGCTGCTTGCAACCTTTTAAGACCCCAGACGCCGCTCACCAAACTAGGATGCAGAACATTTTCTTAATAAGCTTTGTTATGTCAATTGACCTAGATGTCTCCTGAAAGCATGGTCTCTAGACCCCTACCCCTGCTACTCTGTCCCTCAAAGTGTTTGATTGTATTCAGGAAACTTCTTAGCTTTGGTTTAGTCCAGTTGTGCTGACTTCCCCCGTAGTGTGTGCTGTCTTTCCCTTCACCTAAGATAATTCTTATCTACTATCTAGTTAGTAAATAACCCTCACCCTCCCTCCCCACCCTCATAACCATCAAAGAATGTTTTCTTCTGTGTTTAAACTTATTCTTGAGTTCATATAACAGTGGTCTTATACAATATTTGTCCTTCTGTGATTGACTAAAGTCACTCAGCATAATGACTTTCAGCTTCCTCCATGTTATGTTTCACAGCTTCATCGTTATTCTTTATCTTTGCATACTATTCCTTTATATACCATAATTTGTTTATCCGTTCATCTGTTGATGGGCACCTAGGTTGTTTCCATCTTTTTGCTATTGTGAACAGTGCTGCAATGAACATGGGTGTGCATATATCTATTCATATGACTGCTCTTATTTCTCTAGAATATATTCCAAGGAGTAGGATAGCTAGATCATATGGTACTTCTATTTCTAGCTTTTTAAGGAAGTGCCAAATTGATTTCCAAAGTGGTTGTACCATTTTACATTCCCACCAACAGTGTATAAGTGTTCCAGTCTCTCCACAAGCTCTCCAACATTTATTATTTTGTGTTTTTTGGATTAATGCTAGCCTTGTTGGGGTGAGATGATATCTCGTTATAGTTTTGATCATGATCTTTCTTGAGGCTGCTGGAACTTCTCTCAGAATGGCAGGAAGAGCAGCAGGGACTAGCCAGTAGGGAATTCTGAGTTTGATGGTGACAGGACTGTAGGGTCTCTGTCATTGGGTATGAGATGTCCCCAGTGTAAGGATTTCCAGCCTTTTTAAAGTGATGTTCTGAATTCTGTTCCTTTCTCTTGGATATGCCATAGGAGTATCTTGCTTGGATGGGAAGTAATGAAGTAGTGAGGAAAATGGCCAGCATGATTTCTCACAAACTGAGGGATCCGTGGCATGCTAGCTACAGCAAATAGACCAATAATAATAGCATCATGCCATACAAGGGGGGAGGGATGCTTAGGGTGGATAGGCTGCCAACCTTGCTCCAGACACTGAATTTCAGTTTAGCAGTTGGATTCCAGAATTAAAACCCCAACTAAACAGGGAATTAGGGAAGGGTTTTGTTCTGTTCTGTACTCCTTTTGGTTTCTTTTTTTTTTTTCTTCCAGAGAAACGAAAGAAGTCTTTTGATCCAACAGGAAGGGAAATTCACATGGTATGTTTGATGTATCTGTTAAAAGAAATGCAATTTGTGTTGTGCTAATACTTAGATAAATTTTTTTATTTAATGAATCTATGTAACACCGTGTGTCAGACACTGTTCTAAGTGCTGTATATATATAGACTCATTTTTTTTAGAAACTTTTTTTTTTTTTTTTTACATTCACCTCTGTCTGATGCAAAATTTCATCAGGATTAACAAGTTTCATCATAAGTGGTTCTTAGAATGGGAGGTGGGAAGCAGTGTAGACCCTCAAAAGAAAAGTCAGGAACTGCTTCAGGCTATTTATTTATTCTCACAGCAACACCTTAAAGTCTTTCTGGAAGAAAATAAGAAGTTAATGGAAGGATGAACACATAAATAACCTCATAAAATGACTGGATTTCCTAATACCTCACACACACGGTTGAACAGGCACGCTCACAGGCTCATTTGTTATGCAGAAACCCCTGATTCTGTGTGGGCTCATCAGAGATGAGACCTCTCCGACTAAGCAAAGAATGTTTTGGAGGCAATGCCAATTTTTCTTACAATTTCTTGGAAAAGAAATTTAGGCCTTTATTTTGGGTTTAATGATGTGTAAATATTGGAACTCAGAAAAGAATACAAAATAAGGCAATATATTTGTGAAAAAATATTTTATGAATCTCTTTAATAAAAAACAAATAACTGGTCAAAAATGAGTTACTGTAAACAAGCATAATTTTTTTCTGTGTGTTTCAGTAAGGAGGAGTAGGAAAAAAGAGGTACTCCCATAAAGATTTTAGCCTAGGAAACCCTTTGGGGCAATTCTACTCTGTCCTGTAGGGTCACTATGAGTCAGAATTGACTTGACATACAAACAACAACAACTCTCTTCAGTGGAAGAAAGGCATGGCAATCTGCTTTTGTTAAGATTACAGTCAAGAAAACCCTATGGAGCAGTTCTAATCTGTAACACATAGGGTCACCATGAGTTGGAATCACTTCAATGGTAATGGGTTGACCTGCTTTTAAGAGCCAGAAAAACCAGATGCAGATATTGCCAGTAGTTCGATATATAGTAGTAAATGGCGCAAAGCTTTCCCCACCAATATGCCTAATTTTAAACCAGACAAAATACTTTCAACTTGGTAAATTTGTATTAAGTTTTTAGTAAGTATCAATAGACATTGTGTTTGGTTCTAAGGTTTTGTTTCCTCAAACAGGGAGATTTTCTTAAACATTATTTCCTCTCTTCCTATAGCAAACAATAACAAAAAGTATACATTCTGTCATAAATCAGGCCTGAGAGTTATGAAACCATTTAAAACCATAAATAATTTACTGTGCAAACAAAATCCAGTTTGGTTAAAATGTAATCATATTTTTTGTGTGTAAGCTGGATAAATTATAACTAGAAGTTGAATTTAAAATGTGTTTTTCTGTGTGTGCATTTATTTGGGAATATTGTTTTAAGGTGTTCATGTCTTTCACTGAAATTTGAATTGTTCCATTTGAGTTATCAAGCATTTCAGGAAATGATCAAAGAGATGACATATCAAGTCATTTCGGCTAACGACTTTTCAAGAGGGAACTCACTTGGGAGCCAGTAGATTAGAAGCCCAAAGTAGAGAAAAGGACTGGCGAAAAGAGGGCAGATATATACAAAAGCCAAAGTTCTGATCTCGTTCCAGAATGGTTCTTTGAGGGAATAAAAAGGCTTTGTATACTAAAAACAATGCAATTGTACATTTTTAAAAGGTGATTTTTATGGTATGTGAATTATATCTCAGTACTTTAAAAAATGCTTTGTGAACTGTAAAATGCCATACAAATGTAAGGTGTGACTGCCACTTCTGTCTTTATCATCTTTGTCCACCATATTGTGGTGCAGCAGCCTCGTGGTTCCACCCACATTGACGAGTACACACTCAGTCACAGAGTACCATGTTTTCTTTCACCCCATTCATTCCAACACAATTTTTCATGAAACGAGCCATCTTTTGAGAAGAAAGCTGAGTAACTGAGTTAATAGACTTAAATGAATTGAAAAGTACAACAGAGACCTTGCTGGTACATTGCAGATTTATGGCTGTTAGGTTACACAATAGTCTTTTCTTCTTCAGTGCTCCACCTACTGACTTTAACTGGGTTTACGCCTGTGGAAGTCGGCACATTCTATCTTAGTCCAGAGACTGTGAAGGTAAAAGCAAACACTGCCTCTCTCAGTTATCCAGACTTCATGTTACTTCCTGGGCAGCCACCTCTTTCAGAGGCAGGCCATGCGCTCAGCAGGTAACACCTAGTTTCTCAGGATACCACCAGATATGCTTGTCAGGTTGCACTTCGTCAAAAAGGTATAATAGACACGCTGCTGCACACATTGCAGTGAGGACAATGAAGGACTAGACAATCATGTAGACCATCAAGACCATGGACCTGAAGCTGTAAAGGAGTTAGAACAATTTCAGAAACATAAATTGACTGGTAAAATTGAAATTAAAAAAAGAAAAGAAATAACAACCCCTAGCATTAGTATAACATCTTAGTTTTTACCAGGTGGACACCACGTGTAACTAGGGATGGCTAGCAAATAGCTGAAAATAGTAAGAAAACAACAAGGCCTGTTTTATTTTTACTTTCCATAAATTCATCTCTTTCTCAGAAGCTGTAAGACATTTGAAGCTTTAAGACATTTATCTGGCAGCAGAAGAGTTTTCTTGTGGTATAAATAACTACAAAAACAAAAAACCAAATCAGGTGCCATTAAGTTGATTATGACTCATGGAGATCCCATGCAGAGTAGAATTGCACTCCATAAGGTTTTCCTGGCTATGACTTTTTGGAAGTAATTACCAGGCCTTTCTTCTAAGGTGCCTCGGGATGGGTTTGAACTGCCAGTCTTTCAGTTAGTAGCCCAGCACTTAACCATTTGCATCACCCTGTGGGAATACTGTAGCCCTGGTGGTGCAGTGGCTAAGAGTTAAGGCTGCTAACCAAAAGGTCAACCGTTTGAATCCACCAGCTGCTCCTTGGAAACCGTATGGGGCAGTTCTACTCTGTCCTATAAGGTTGGTGTGAGTCGGAATCAACTCAACGGCAGTGGGTAATGGTATAGAAATACTATTTTAGGGAGTTTTTCTAACTTTGTCCCCCAAAACTGACAGCAATTTTAAAATTCTGTATTTCAAATTATAATAATACATCATGAGTAAACCCACTTCCCTCGAGTCGATTCTGACTCACAGTGACCCCCATAGAGTTTCCAAGGCTGTAAGTCTCTACGGAAGCAGGCTGCCACATCTTTCTCCCATGGAGCCGCTGGTGGTTTCAAACTACAGACCTCTCGGTTAGCAGTCGATCACTTTAATATCATGAGTAACTCCTAATATTTATTCTTTCTGCCCACTTAAAGATGATCTGTTCTGTTTTATTCTTAATTGTTCTAAACTGTGTTAGTACTGGCTATCAAATTGTAAGCTGCCTGAAGTTTGGATATTTTATATTTCCCGTTAGTTTGTGCTGTGGTTTTCATGTAGAAGAAGGGTTGAAAAGTATGCTGGTACCTCAAAAGTGACCAATAATAAAGCAAAAAATAACAATTTGGGGAGAACATAGTGGTCCTCAAGTCTTTCATCCTTTAATAACTGAGTCTGTTACAAACTTACGTGTCAGCAGCAAGTGAGAGGAGCAGTAGATTATTTCTCTTCTGAAGGTACATTTAGCTTCGCAGTCACAAGCCTGTGAGCACTCGCACACGGGTGCGGTTAGTGCTAAAGGACACGCACCACCAGGTCCTTATGTGATACTTAAACCTTCTTTTGCCTCTTACAGGCTGCTGTCCCCCAGCCCTTTGGAAGTGAACAAACTGAAGCGGGCACCAGGCAAAATTCCCAAACACAGCCATCAGAAACTGGAATTTACGATAATGACCCCTGGTTCAGGGCACAGGAAGGGCCTGAGGTTTATTCTAACCCATGCTTAGAGGAAAACAAGCAGAACATTGTTTATGCTTCCCTGAACCATTCTGTCACTGGAAAGAACCCAAGACCAGCAAGAGATGTGAAAGAAGCACCTACAGAGTATGCAGCCATATGCGTGAGGAGTTAAATCTGGCCCTCATCGCCCTACAGCGATCACTGAATGTCTCCATGCCAGCACCATCATCTGGGCCCAACGGGATGTCAAATAAGATTCCTCAACTTGAGAATTTTCACGTTAAGGAAGTTTGTGTTGGTGCTTGGATTTTAAGGATCTGTATGACAAGTGACTAAAATTTCTCCTGAGAACTTCTCTGGGAGAGTTTGTTACTGTAGTCTTGATTTACAAAATCTATTCTCCAAAAGTGATTGAATAGCAGAATGTTAGAACATTTAAACTTAGCTACATTTTACCCAATATAAAAACTCAATAATTTCTTTAGATCTGTCAGAGAGACAAGGAGGGAAGAGTGGGTTGTGTTATCTGGATCGGCTCACTACAACTCTTAAAAAAGAATGTCCCGATCCAACCCACTAATCTAAAGTACAATAATGATCCTATATTTATTTCCAGTCAATTTTCCATAATAGGAAATTTTTCTATGTCAGTGTAAGACTGAAGTGTCTTAAGGGTAGAGGAGAAATAGACTTCATGATATAAGGAAAGAATAAGTCATGCAATAAGGATATGGAATACACCCTTTGGGTATGGGATAAAGATGTTCTCCTGACAACCAACCTGAAAAACGAATGCTTATATTCACCCTGTTAGATTGCTAAGCACATGTAGGTATCAATGGAACAATTAATGTACGATGCATTTTATGAGCAAAGTGGTGGCTTGGTCTTTGGGTTGCGTAGACTAATATATGTGAATGTGACATAATGCTGCTGAATAAATACACTTGTGTGTGTCTGAAACCTTAAAAATCAGCGAAAATAGGTGTGATCAGGCAAGTGCAGATTGATGGCTTAAACTGTTTCATGGGTGACCTGATAGCAAATTAAAATCAGAATTAATGGAATGGAGAAAAGTCTAGAATATTTAGTTGGTCAGTATGGGTCAACATATTTTCCTTCACCACATTTGTTTCTTGCTGTTCTTCTCATTAAGGAATCAGGGCAAATGACACACAATGAAATTGAAGCCACTTAAGAGTATAGCAAGAAGAGATAGCTTCAGATATTTTGAATTTCCACTGAGTACTTGAGTCTAATTATTTAAAAAATATCCTACAACTTTATTCAATAACTTGAAGCTATTAGAGTTCTCAGGTGCTGCTGCTACTAAATAATGTAACAGCCCTCATAAAAAGTAACCAGCAAAGGTCAGGATCCAAATGTGAACTGCTGTATAAGCGAAGTGGTGTGTGTGCACGTGTGTGTGTGCACGTGTGTAGGAGAGGTAGATGACTTACAGAAATGACAGAACAGAAACTGACCAGAGTGACATTCCAGTTTTCATTTTTCTCCAAATACTATAATAAATAGATCGTTAAAGAAAACGGTGTATGATGGAATAGGGATGGGCGTATGAGTGGAGTACACACAAAAATAGGCAAATCTGAGGTTTGAAGTGATGGTGGTGAGGTTTTTCTTGGGTAACACTGGCATTAAGTTTCTGCCGCTTAGATCCTGGGTTGCAGGTATTTTTTGTGAGTTACTGTTCTAGCCCCTATGGTGTTATTACACCTGAAATTTTAAGAAACCAATTTTAGGTACGCTTTTTTAGCTAAGCTTCATTTATGGGCAACCTATGCAAAAGACATTCATTAGAAGAGCCCCTTGAGGTATTCTTAAAAATAGAAACAGGAAGCGTGAGGAGGATATGCATTCTTCTTATCAGATAAGAACACAGGCAGGCAGTTCCTTCAGAATTCTCTTTAATTTAAAAAATAAAATATTTCTGTTATTGCTATTTAGAATATTCATAGGAGTTCTTACAGTAAAGATCATGCTGATAATGATTTCACCTCTGTGAATCACTAAATTTATATTTGTATAACATCTGTCAAAATCACAAATCATTTATGTTTTTATTCCTTCTTAATAAAAAGTATCAGAGATATGTATGTATTTCTTCTAATAAGGCTATTTCAGTATTATATGCATAGCATATTATCTTAATTTATAGGTCATTTGGGAAAAAGAATATGCAGAGAATTTAAATGATTTTTCCATGAATTTTAAGTTTGTTGATTGTTCCCAATAAGAAGGTAAAGTTAACTAAAACTTATTTGGAATTCATTTGGCTTTGCTTTTGTACATAAAAATGTCTGAAGAAGAGTGATTCTCAAGCCTTATGGCACATAAATACCACTCAAGGGACTTGCTACACTGCAGAATACCAGGTTCTAGCTCCAAGAAATTCTGATTCAGGAGGTCAAGGATATGGCTTTATAATCTTTCCCTTTAAAAGGCATCCCAGGGAATTCTGATAGAAGTTTCCTAGTGTCGACAATTTGAGAAACTCTGAAATAGAGGCTAGATTTGACATGTGCCATTTGTTTGAACAGTGCTACTTGCTAGTCAAGACTATCTAGCCCCCAGAGTGGATTCTCTGGCCTAATTGTAGTATTTCACAGCAGTTATTAGTTATTGATGCATTTGAATTGTGGAGCTGGTGAAGAATATTGAATATACCATGGACTGACAGAAGAATGAAGAAATCAGTCTTAGAAGAAGTACAACAAGAATGCTCACTAGAAGCAAAGATGGTAAGACTTCGTCTCGCTTACTTTGGGAGTGTTATCAGGAGGGACCAGTGCCTGGAGAAGGGCATCATGCTTGATAAATGGAGAAAAGATTGACATTTCCAAGGATTCCATTTTACTTGAATTCACAATCAACATTCTTGGAAGTAGCAGTCAAGCCATCAAATGACGCATTGCATTGAACAAATCTTCTGCAAAAGACCTCTTTAGAGTGTTAAAAGGCAAAGATATTACCTTGAGGACTAAGGTGCACTTGACCCAAGCCATGGTGTTTTCAATTGCCTCATATGCATGCGAAAACTGGACAATGAATAAGCAAGACTGAAGAAGAATTGATACATTTGAATTATGTTGTTGGCGAAGAATATTGAATATACCATGGACTGCCAAAAGAACAAACAAATCTGTCTTGAAAGAAGTACAGCCAGAATGCTCCTTAGAAGCAAGAATGGTGAGAAGATGGTGTTTGGGGGGTTTTGTTGGGACCTAATTAATCACACTCCAATTGAAAAATAAATAGAAAAGTCAGATTGGGAAAAAATATTATTATTAATAGTAAAGGTGGATTGGTGAGTATGGCTCTGACCCAAAGATAAGATAGGTTTCCTATTCATTCTTCCATCTCAGTCCTGCTTGGCTTTGGGACCATTTATAGGAAGAGTTAGGTCTACAGACAGATATTCCAATGATCCATGTGGGGGATCTCAATCTTACCCAAGTATCCACGACTGCAGATGAATGAGAACCGGGGATATGAAGGCTGACTCCTTGCCTTTAATGGGAGGACTCTTTCCCTAGGTTAACATTCCAAGATTGAGAAGCTCTGCCTATCTCAAGAGCTAGAGGAGTCAGTCTGTTTTTTCTGAGAAGTCAGCAAGAGGATAGATAGACAGAAGACATTATTTCATAGACTAAAGTGAGAACATGATTTTTCTTTCTAATTTAAGAGCATAATAAATACTCACTGAATGTTAAATTATTGAACTGAATGAATTAAAAAGAAGAAAAAACTACCTCTTTTAGGGAAATTAAAAAAAAAAAAAGGCATTTGAGTTCTCCCTTAGAGCCAGGAAAATGGGAGGAGGAAATTCTAGATGGAAAGGAGAGATGTTCAAAAGAGCATGGCACATTCTGAGAATGGCCAGAAACCAAGTGTCTATAGTACAGGTTACATAGAAGGTGAGACAGGATATGAGAACAGTTTTAGCTGTAATTATCACTTAAATAGCATGTTTGGGGTTACAAAGTGCTTTCCTGCATATTTTCAAAAAAGAAAAAAGTATACATTGTGTCTTAGTTATCTAGTGCTGCTATAACAGAAATATCACAAGTGAGTGGCTTTAACAAACAGAAGTTTATTCTTTCACAGTCTAGGAGGCTAGAAGTCCAAATTCAGGGCACTGGCTCTAGGGGAAGGCTTTCTCTCTCTGTCGGTTCTGGGGCAAAGTCATTGTCTTTTCTGAGCTTCTGCTCGTGGGCGATCTTCATGTGGCTTGGCATATCTCTTCCTCCATCTCTACTTTCTCACTTGCTTGTTTAAATCTCTTTTATATCTCAAAAGAGATTGACTCAAGATACACCCTAATCCTGCCTCATCAACATAACAAACTTAATCCTCATTAATGTAACCAAAACCCTGGTGGCGAAGTAGTTAAGAGCTACGGTGGCTAACCAAAAGATTAGCAGTTCAAATCCACCAGGCAGTCTTTGGAAACATTATGTTGCCGTTCTACTCTGTCCTATAGTGTCGCTATGGGTCGGAATTAACTCGACAACAATGGGTTTGGTTTTTTTGGTTTAATCCTGCCTCATTAACATATTCATAGGCAGAGGTTAGGATTTACAACACGTCACAAAATAGAGGATAATTACATCAGATCACAAAATGAAGGACAACTACACAGTGCTGGGAATCATGGCCTAGCCAAGTTGACACATATTTTTGGACACAATTCAATCCATGACACACTGTAAGAGATCTACGGCAACTATTTTCTCTTTAAGCTTCTTGGCTGTCAAAGATGTGCATAATTAACAAGCTGATATAGCCACAAATTTTATTTTTATCTTAGGCAATATCATTACAAAGTTATAAAGTCTTAATTAATGCTTAACAATAGAAAATAATTTTATGTGGGGTTAAAAAATAAAAGCAGGATTGGCTAGAATTTCAACAAGTCTTATGTGGTGACAACCAAATAAAAAGATGTTAGAAACTTCAAACTGTGACATTTGCCTTTCACAAGCTACCTTAAAATGATTAAAGATGATAGTTCTAGTCTGGACAACCAAGATTGCATCATTCTTGAAACTTTCGGGAATTAATGTTTTCTTTGAATGCTACTCTGTTGGCCCACATGGGAACTCAAAGTTTATCTGAGTGAGATAAATGTTTAGTATGTATCTTTTAAAAAGTTGAGAAATGCAAAGTAAGTAATATTATAACAAATCTCTTTCAAGGAAGTATTCCAAGTAATAGTGGAGCAAGCCCATCAATGGACTAAAGATGTTGCTGTCACGTAGATTCTTGACTCATAGGGACCCCAAGTATGTCAGAGTAGAACTGTCCTCTACAGAGTTTTCAGTGGCTAATGTTTTGGAAGTAGATTTGACTTGAACTTTCAGTCTTTTCGGTTAGCAGCTAAACATGCTGTTTGCACCACCCAGGGTCTCCATAGAAGGACTACTATATTAAATTG